AATAACAGCTGCTAACAGAGTCAACAGCTAATAACAGCTGCTAACAGGCGATTACAGATAATAACAGCTGCTAACAGCTGCTAAAAGCTAATAACAGCTAATAACAGCTGCTAACAGGGAGTAACATTTCCTTGTGGTCAGGAAGCTAAAGGCCTTCACTGACAAACTCTTGCAGCAGCGCCTCCTGCTGGCCCACATTTAGCCTTCTTTAAAGTTGATCTTTAAGGTAAAGTGAGTTCAGCAGCTTGCTGAAATTAGAGTTAACTCTTTGAAAGTGTGAAATAAGAAGCTCTAAGAGCTGCTGTTTGGAGACAGTCCCAGATTTGTTTTACTTTTTTGTAAATTAAAGTTTCTTGTTTTTTGTTTGAGGACAGTTTGTGGACATAAAACCTTCTGCAGTCTCAGATAAACCTGAGTCTGAGCCAGCTGTGAGGCGTTCAGGTTCACTCAGAGATGTCAGACAGTCTGAGTGATGTGTTGAGACCTCACCTGTTTGTACTTCTTCACGTCCCACACCTCCATCTGCCCCTGCAGGTTCCCGAAGCCGGCAAGAACCAGGATGTGGCCCTGAGGACTGAGATCAGGAGGGACAGGTTACTCTGCAGCACAAAGACCAGGTTCTGATCCAAGAAAAGTAGTTTTAACTTAAATCTAATGGTCGCTCATGGACCGGTAGAACTTTGGACCCCTCCAGACTGGCTGGAAAACGTGGGTCTGATTCTGCAGAGACTCAGACTGTCCTACGCACGTCTCACAGAGTTAACAGAAAGACGGATCAGAACCTTCAGGATGGTCTCACCTGTAGTAGGCAGCATTTCTGGGTCCGGTTCCGAAGTCGAACAGCGGGTCACACTTCAGGTTGAAGACGGTGGCTTTGGCGGGCATGAAGCCGTACACCACGCAGAACTCGCTGGAGCTCGGGCTCCACGCCACGTCGTAGATGGGCCCGTTCTTCGCTGTTTCCAAACCAACAGGAAGAAACGTGGGTCAGGACCAGAGCGGTTCTGTTCAGCTCCCAACACCCTTTAACGATGCCAGAGACGGACCGGACCCAGTTCTTACCGAGCTGAACCACAGCCGTCTCTCCGTTCACAGCCAGGTAATGCAGCGTCTGCTCTCCGTAGTACGATGCCCCGGTTTTGTCCACCTCCGTGCTCGCCGTCACCAGGACTGCCGACGCTGAGGGACGAAGACACGGTTAGCTTCAGGAACCGTTTGGACCGCTCAGAGACACGGCCTGCACTCTCACCCCTCCGGTTCCACAGCATGCTGACCCGGTCGGCTTTAAAGAAGCTCTTATTGGCGAGTGCAGCACTCGGTCCGCCCAGCACCGGGTACTGGTACAGACGCACAAATGACGGTGCTCCTTTGCTGCCTGGGACATAGACAGCAACCTGCGGGGGACAAATAAGACACATAAGACAGACGAGACAACCATAGGACAAGTTTCAGGCGTTCCCGTTTGTCTTCTCACCTTACTGGGCTGAACCCCAGGAGACAAGGCAAAGTCTGAGACCTTCTGCATGTGCAGCTTGTTGGCAATGGAGTCTGAGGAGAGACTGTGATGTCACACAGAGACTGACCAATCAGAAGAGACAAACTGTCCAACGTGTGTGTGACTCACTGAAGTCGTTGTTCTCATAGAAGTGCAGCTCATTGTTGACGCTCCTCACACAGATCTTCTCGTCTTCTGACCAGCTGGGACACCTGAGAACCAGTCCATGTTAAAGTCAATCAATCAATCAGTCAATCAATCAGTCAATCAATCAATCAGTCAATAAGACAGTAATCAGTTGTGCTGGACTGACCAAGAGTCAACCTTCTTCTGAAACAGAGCTTTGATCAAACGTCCACTCGTCAACTCCCACAGCTGCAGGTTGGCCTCACCCTGAGGACAGTTCTGAGTCTCTGCAAGACAGACAGGTACTCATCAAGCCCTCCAACTGTCTCTGACTGACTAATGGCGCTTGAGATGGAAACTGTCTCACTGCGTCCTCTGACAGTCTCACTGCGTCCTCTGACTGTCTCACTGTGTCCTCTGACTGTCTCACTGTGTCCTCTGACTGTCTCACTGTGTCCTCTGACAGTCTTACTGTGTCCTCTGACTGTGTCACTGCGTCGTCTTGTCTCTTACTGGCGTACGGTTGCCAGGTAACCAGGATGTTCTTGAGGGGAGAAAACTCCATCAGGGCCGTCTTTGGGAGGTCAAAGGTCGACACCACTGATCCATCGGCACATTTCACCACGGAGACGCTGCAGGCCAGACAGGAAGGGGATGGTCACATGACCGCGTCTCCATCATCTTCTTGCTAGGAAACCAAGGATGAGACATACCTGTGTCCATTGCACCAACCAAAGAGTGTCCCATCTCTGCTGAAGGTGAGACACCTGCTGGACCGACCGTCCCTGAGACACACAAACACAAAGATGGGAGACAGATGTGTATTTGTGCATTTGTCAGGTGAAGTTGACTCATTTTACCTCTGGAAGGCAGAGTGCTGTTGACACTGAGGGGGACCACTGAGTAGAGACGTCCCATCTGAGCCGCGTACTAAAGCAAACAAACAAACAAACAGTGACGTTTGAGATCAAAACACAGTTTGTATACAAGAACAAGAGTCATGGCCTGATTCTGAGCGAGAGCTCTGGAACATCAGAACCACGACGATCTAGTGATTTCTGTTTGTTAATGTTTTGTGTTTAGTTATTGATCCAGGAGGGAATATGATGAGCGGTTTTCATGAGTGTCCCTGAACGCAACCTTCATATTCAGAACAGACCTGGATTTGTTGACGTGTTCTGACAGGAGTTCGTTGACGGTGAAAACAGATTTTATCTGTCAGTGTGTTTTATTTTACACATTCAAGTCTGGATTTGTTAATTCTAACTCTGGGATGACTTCATGAAACCCAGAATAAATTTAAACTAGGATTACTTATTGTGGAAGATTAGGAAATCTATTGGTTTCACCTCACAAGAAACCAGTCGTGTCTGAATGATCCAAACAGAATCCCATAGAGATTTTTTACGAATTTAAGTTTTCAGCGAGAGTTTGATCAGAAAATTATCAGGAAAGAAAAACCTGAAGACAATAATTAAAGTGAACAGAGCTAATGTACAGTTCGGCCCAGATACAGAGACAAACAGCAGGAAAATCTGAGATTATTGATCTGTTTTTGTCAGAATCTTTAACCTCGATCATATCAGATGTAATGATTAAATGAAAATATATATATTTATGAATGCATTAACATAATTCTTATTTAACAGAAACAGCCCGATTCAATTCTTTGCTAAATAAGCAATTTACGCTTCTGTAGACGGAGGATGAGCGTTTCGAAATTATTTTAATCAAGTTAATCGGATTTTTTACGGATAAAAACGAAATTTTATTTTGTTCGTTTCGTTTAAGCTTCCGGTCGATCACTAACGGCTCGGAATTAACAAGTAAACAAACATGTAAACAATGAGAGGGTGATGTTTAAAATCAAATTACCTGCCAAAAGCGGGATGGGGGGCGCCATGTTTACATGTGCAGGAAAAAGAAATCGAGCTTCCGGAAGTGCGTCATACAACGAGGGGGCGGGGCGCCGAGTGCCACATCAGCGTAACAACGCAGAACGTTCGCTTTAAAATGGAAAATAGCTTTTAAAATAAAAACTCTAACACCAGATTATTCCGTTTTGTTACAATTAAAACTAAATGTTTCAAATAAATATTATAAACAATTGATTTAAAACATTTTACACATTATATTCACGTTTGAATGACATCAAGTGTCGGAAACTAATAAAAAATTAGATGACTTCCGCTTTCAAAATAAGGATTCATGTTCAGTCGACTATAATTAGCTAAAAATATTAAGAGGTTGATCTTTGAATGTTTTGTATGCTTTTATTTTATATTTTATGTTTGTGTGGAATGTATCATAGTAGTATATCACTCAGAACTACTGTTAAGTTTATTCTTAAAAATTATCTTTTAAGTTTCCTTATGTTCACAATTCTGATTTGATGAATTTATTCTGAGACCTAATTGTAATAAAACCTGCTGGTGTTTTATTTTCTGATCAGCTCTGAGTTCATGTTTTTGATGTTTACTAAAGAAACATTTTTGAGATCAGAAGAGACAAAACCTGATTTGTTAAAAAAAAAAACACATCTCAGGAAAACTGCTATAGATTATCCTGATGCATGCTCATATAGATTAATACTATAGATTAATTCATCTCTTCTCATCTGGCCTGACTGTTTGTGAGTATAAATTTCATTATTCCTTTGTCTGAAACAAGTTAACAATCTGATTGATGAATTTGGATGAATTAGGATTGAATAAAAGAAAACTCAAATGTAAAAATAAAACCACTTAAATCTGTAAAAAAAAATAAAAAAAGACGTAAAAAATTAGTTCTAAAAATTTTCATCTATAAAATTTATCTAGCACAATTTTTCTCCAATTTACACAAAGGTAAAAGACAACAAATAAAGCTGTTCCATAAAAACAGATTATTTTTTATATATAAAACTTTTTAAAATGTATTTATTTTTTACAAACATACTGAAAACCAGTGAAAACTAAAAACACAAGTTAAAAATTATATTGGCAAATAATGCTTACTAATATTTGCGATTTTTTCTTTTTACACTAAAATATTTTATTTTATTAAAACTTTAAAAAGTATGTTTTTATAAATAGGATTAAAATAAATAGAATTCACAAAATGATTGTCAAAGATCGCACATTGTGCTAATAAAACTTTGATTCCTGCAGTAAATACTTTTATAGTTTTAAGTATTGGGTTGCTTTTACCTGCAACTGATCAAGATTTATTTTGAAAGCTCAAACAGGAAGTTATTTTACAGCGGTTAGCAACTTGATGCGGTCAAATGCGAAGCTTGGGGGCGTGGTTTTCCGGTTATGGGTGGAGCTATAGGTTTTTGAGCACGTAGACAATCCCGACTTCGTCCCAGAATTAGAGTGCGCGGAGCGGAGTGCGTGAGGCCTGTAAACAATTCCAAAAAGCAGCTAAACACCGAAACAAAACCGGGAAAGAAGAAGAAAACAAGATGGTGGCCAAGCAGAGGATCCGAATGGCGAACGAGAAACACAGCAAGAACATCACGCAGCGCGGGAACGTGGCCAAGACAGCGGTGAGTCCAGAACCGAGCCGGGACCAGAACCCACTGATCGACAGGCAGCTTCAGTTGTTCGCGTTGGTGATCGATCGGTTCAGTTCATTTACACGAATTAAGCTAATTGTTCCGGATGTTCCGATCCGCTGATCAGTTTCAGAACCTGGTGAGCGGGCTCGAGCTGAGGTTCTGATCCAATCCAGGCTGATCCGTTTGATCAATTCATTTTCAAAACTCAAGATTCGCTGATCAGTGAGCCGATCGATTGAAACTGACATGTTTGTGTTCAGTCATCAATAACAGGAAGCTCACTTTCAATTAAAAGGTCTGACGTCACTGATCTGAAACTGATCAAAATGATTTAATCTGCTGTAAATCGTGATCAATTGGTTTCATTGGAATTTTTCAAAAATCAAATTCCTGAACAAGAAGGAAACTGTCAAACTTTCAAAATAAAAGTCTGTAATTAGTGGTCATGCTATGTAATCAATCAGAATAACTGATCACTAAAAGTGATCAGATTAGGAACTAATGAAATCTCACTGGGGTTCTGATTGATGAAGAAGACTCCATCGATAAGTAAGTGTGACGATCAATCGGATCGATCAGCGTGGGGCCTAATGAGACTGACCAGTGTTTGATCAATATTTCCACCTGTGTTTCAGAAGAACCTGGTGGAAGAGAAAGGGGTGGGGCCATGGCTGCTGGCGCTCTTCATCTTCGTCGTCTGTGGATCAGGTGAGTCTTCCTCCAACATTCAGCGATATTGATCAAGTATTGATCAGGATGTTCACCTTCCTTGTGGTCCATCAGATTGTTTACATTTATTAACTAAAACACAAAAGTTTGGAAAATATAAAATAAAACAGTCATTTTTGGTGCTGTAAGAGTATGTGGGCGGGGCTTGTCCTTTCACAGTAAATGTCATGCTGCCTCGAGAGATAACCGATCAATCATTGATCTGAGCGCACTCGGGTCAGTTATTGACAGGAGGTCTCTCTCTGATCAGAATCCAGCTGATTGATTACTGATTGATTTTGATATTTTGAAAAATATCAAACAGCAAAACGAAAAGTACATGTTTGAAAATGAGTATTTAGTAAACTACAAGATAATATTCAGATTTAAATAAAATTTATAAGATGCGTTAGTTATAATTTATTTAAAAACAACTCTAAGAGTAATTAATAATTTATAGGATTTTAAACAAACTAATTGTAAAACTTACTCTTACACTTAAAAAAAAAAAACAGAACGTTCAGTTAATGATAAAAATTTAATGTATATAAATTTTAATAAATGTAAAATCTGTCTCTGTCGCACCTGCAGCCATTTTCCAGATCATCCAGAGCATCAGGATGGGCATGTAGGATGATGTCATCAGCAGGGGCGGGGCCACACCATGGCGACGATGGCAGGGAGACGTGACACTGATACCAACGGACCGCCGTATTTCTGACCCGAAGAAAAGCGACAAAAACATTCCTGAACTCTGACCGCCATCATTCCCACATAGACACAAGCCCCGCCCAAACGAGAACAAGCCCCTCCCACCCTTGTTGCCACACCCCTTCAGGGACCAGCCTGTTATCTGTGTTGACTTAACATGTTGCTGCTCGCTGACCTTCTCACAGCGTTACTGTGTCACCCTGTGCCTTGCTCTATTTACCTGAGCTTTGGCTCCGCCCCTCTGTTTACCTCATCAGTCTGGTGGGGGGGCTAAAGTCCAGCTGTTTGTGTCAACTGTCCCAGCTGATGGATCTGTCTCCTCCTCGCAGGAAGTGACCTCATGAATCAGGAGGTGGAGCCTGCACCGTGTGCAGCCGTGCCTCAACATTCCTGTTCGCTCAATAAAGTTTCATTTTCAAAACAACGCTGTGTCCGTTTCCTGTCTGATGGGGCGGGGCCGCCGGGGAGACCAGCAGGACCCGAGCTTAGGGTCGGGACCTGGAAGAACCTGGTCCTGTAAAATCCTGGGTCAAACCTTCAGTTTCTCAGTTTGGGTCTGGTTCTAAAGGGATTCAGGTTCCAGTGAGTTTTAATGTCAACAAAACCTGATCCAGAACCTCCTTAAGCAGAAGAACTCTGGTTTTTTGTGGAACTTCAGTCTCTCTCGGAGTTTGCATTGCTTCAGTTCATTGAGGTTTCTGCTCAGTTCTGAAGGTCCACCACAGCATTTCAGTTAGGTTCTGGACTCTTGAATCACTACACACCTTGGTTCTGTCCTCATCGACCCGTTCTGTTGTAGATCAACTGCTGTGTTCTGGATCATGGTCCTGATGGACCAAGTTTGGTCCAAGCTTCAGCTGTTGGACTCCAGAACCTTTAGTCTGCAGAGAAGTTCTGGTCCACTCAGTGACTGACAGGAACCCGAACCATCAGCCTCTACCTCCGTGCTGACAGCTGGGAGGAGCCGTTTGTTGCAGTGCCTTCTGGGTAAACATCTGTCCTTTGGTTCTGGTCCAGAAATCTTGTGGTTCCTTCAGATGAAACTTTTCAAACCTAATTGGTGCTGCCATGTTCTTGGAGAGAAGAGGCTCAGTTAGCAGCTGACCTTTGACCTGCTGACTGAAGCCTGTAGAGTCTGAGATGGAGCTCACTTCTCTGAGCACTGCACGGTCTGACCTTCAGGGTGAATAATAGTTCTCTGTAGAACGATGGACTCCAGATAGTTGGGGTATGACCTTTGACCCTTCCTAGACTGACGGACAAGAATCTTTTTGGGTAATTGCTGATGTCGTTGCGGCTTAGCGTTGTGTTAACACACCTGTATACTCCAGAGCAGCAAATGGACCAGATCATTTTTACTGTGACAAGAAATACCTCTAAAACTGAAAGAGGGTGGACGTTGTTTGTACCCTTACCATAAACCTGGTCCAGTACAGATGGAGTCTAATGAAGTCCTGGTCTTTAGTGTCTTTGGTTCTGATGAAACCCTGTGAAGGATCAGTTTTTTAGTTGTACTGATCAAAGTCCAGCTGTGCTTCCTCCGTTTACCCACCAGGTGAAGCTGTTCACTCACTCACCTGTTGGTTCTTAGCCCCGCCCACTTGAGGCGAGGAAGAACTAGGAGGACATATTTTTAACGTTTCTGGTTGGTTCTGACCGCTGCAGACAGGGAGCATCTCTGCGAACACGCGGAGTTGTTCTGACCCAGTTACAGTTGGGTTCTGGATAAAATGGTTTCACTTTGAACAGGAATCTAGGAACAGGTTCTGCTCAGTCTTTCAGGTCCAGTTATCCAAACGGGCTCATCCTGCAGGAGAGCAGAACCAAATTTAAATTCAGCTACATGGATGTTAAAGATGGCGGCCACAGCCACGCACTTTAGAACAACAAGCTCTGTTAAAGATGGCTGCAACAGCCACGCCCTTACAGAACAACAGGCTCTGTTAAAGATGGCTGCCACAGCCACGCCCTTACTGAACAACAGGCTCTGTTAAAGATGGCTGCCACAGCCTCGCACTTCAGAACAACAGGCTCTGTTAAAGATGGCTGCCACAGCCACGCCCTTACTGAACAACAAGCTCTGTTAAAGATGGCCACCACAGCCACGCCCTTCAGAATAGCGGGTTGTGTGGCTCCAGACTCTGAGCTGCTGTGGTAGTAGCTGAGAGTTGTCCCTTCAGAACTTTGTTTACCTATTTATCTTCATTTATTGTTGTTTACAGCTCTCCTTCCCTTTGTGTCCCTTTATGTGTCCTTCTGTCTCTGTCCTAGTGTCTTTGGGTCTCCGTCTTTGTTCTTGTGTGTGTCCCTGTGAGGACGCTTTGGCCCCCATCAGTCCCTCATGTGGGTCACTCCTGGGCCTCGGCAGACGTTCTTTGTTCTCGCTCTTTTGTTCTGCGTCCTTTCACACGTCCCGTTTTTCTCCGTCAGACAGCAGCTGGAGACAGAGAACCTGAAAATAACGTCTTCACATCGGGTCGCAGCTCAGAACCGGTCCAACCCGAGACCAGAACCAGAGATCCGGACATGGTTCTAATCTCAAACCTAAGTTCTCAGTGTTCTCGTCTCTTGGGCGGTTCTATTTGCTGTAAAAGTTCTTTAGGCCTAAATTTTCACGACTCTTCGGTTCTGCCTGATCAGCTGTCGGATTGACCAGAGAGGGCGCCGAGTAACTGGATCTGACCCGATTTACTGAAACACTGAGGTGAGCAGGACAGGACCCCCAGCAGGACTCAGGTTCTGCTGCCAGAACTCTGATCCACAGACACAGAACCATCGGAGAACACTGGAGGCTCTTATTTTGACAGGACGGAGACAGAAAAATGTCATCAGAGGCAAAACATCTGCTGAAAAACGGACCTTCAGAACCATTGCAGTTCTGATCCTCAGATCCACCTCAGGCTGCAGAAGATGATTTAACCAGATCTTCTTAAACCTAAACTGGACCTGGCTGGTTCTGAACTGAACCTGGTGGGTTCTGAATTGGGTCTAACTGTATCTTAGAAGTTCTGTTTTGATCTAACTAAATCTAAATTGGACCTGAACAGATCCAAACTAGAAAACAGGATCTAGTGTTCTGACCCGACCCGACTGCAGCTGTCAGGATTGAACTAGACTGGATTAATCTGAATGTGAACGCATAGAACTGGATTTAAAACTGGATTTTATTGACTATAAACTGGATTAAAGTCATTCTAAACTGGAGCTCTCTGAATCTGATCCAGTTCATATCAGAACCTGAACATTTGGACCTGTTCTTCCTGAAATCAGCTTATGAATAAAAACTCAGCTGAAAACGGGTCAATAAACGTCTGAAAACAAACAAATAAAGTATTTCAAAGATGGCGGCACAGAACCGACAGAAGTGAACAAAAAGTTTATTTTTTATATTTAATAATAATAAACCAGAAGGATGTTAAAACGTCAGACCTGATTTAAGTCACGCAGAGATTTGTTTATTCAACATTTTAACATCATCAGTCTTTCTTTTTGAATAAAAAACTGCATAAATTTAAACAACCAACTCATCAGAAGCTCTGAGGTGGAACCAGAACAGTGGGCTGCAAAAATCCCCCCCCACCCCCCCATTGTCTCCATTTGTTTCTTTAAATCCTGGAATTTAAACACATTTTTAATTTGATTAAAGTGAAAATACTCTAATTAATAAAGTAAAAACTCATCCATCCATCATCTTCCTCTTGTTCTGGACTCAGGGGCAGCATCTTAAGCAGGCAGGTCCAGACCTCTCTCTCCACAGCCTCTTCCAGCTCTTCTGGGAGGACTCCAAGGTGTTCCCAGACCAACAGAGGGACATAGTCTGTCCAGCGTGTCCTGGTTCTTCCCTGGGGTCTCCTCTCAGTCTCTAGGGAGGTGCCCAGAGAGCATCCTTACCAGAGTTCATGACCAGAGGTGAGTGGAGGAACGTAGAACGACCAGTAAACTGAGAGCTTTGCCTTACAGTGCTGGTCTTCACCACAAAGGACCGGTACAGAGTCTACAATACTGCAGACGATGCACCAATCCATCTGTCAATCTCACGCTCCATTCTTCCCTCACTCATGAACAAAACCCTGAGATACTTGAACTCCTCCACTTGAGGCAGAACCT